CCCAAGAGGACGTGTACCACCCAAATGCCAAAATGCTAACTTTCATCTGGTTTTGTAAGAGACAATTATAATACTCTTACATCATATTTGGGTCACCAAAATGTGAATTTAGAACATTATATTTAAATTTTGCATATACAAATCGATCAAGAAATTACACCTAGTGTATTTTTTTTCTTGTTGTAACTAAACTATTGCTAAAAACGCTAAATATCCGTGAGCCACTTTGTAGCCATATATAATAATTAAGAATGGGGCCAAAGTAGCAAACATGCGTAATACAAAACTCAAGCAACCGATTTTGTTGTGACTATTATAATTAAAGCAGTATGAATTCGAGAAGACCTATGAATTTGATACTCGGGCCATGACTATATAATGAGTGTGAGAAATGTAAAAGATGAACGTAAACAATAATATGATTCAAACCTCGTCAAATATTGCCGAAGTAATTCTAATGCAGCTTTGCTTCTACTGAATTGATGAAATCGTAAATCGATAGAATCGTGATATTGTGTTTTTGAAAAATAGTCGAAATTTCGTCAAATTTTTATTGCTTCGTTATTGGACATATAAATTCGTTCGAATAGAAAAGAAAAAAAAATAACATTTCTGAAATATATATTTTAATACTTTACGTCAAGGACTCATTTGCTCTACTTCTTCAACAGAAAACCTTTTTTCTGTGTTCTTTCTCCCGACTACGGACAATCCTTACTGTCAAAAACAAAAAAGCAAAAACCTGTACATTTCGACGATGTCGTCGTCATTATAATAAAAAATAAAAAAATTTTTATTAAAAACATGTTTCAAAATGGTGAAAAAATATTCTTTAAAACTACTGAGGCTGCACAATCATGAATATTTGAAGTAGGGCTGTTAAAGCCCTGGTGAGCAAATCCTTTTCAAATAGTTTTTATGTTAAATTTGTTACTCGACTTTCAAGTATCTTGAAATAATTATGAAACACTCATAATTATTACAAGATATTTGAAAAATTCTTCATTGTTTACTATCGATAATATCTCATCGATGCCATGAAAGTCTTGGTTGCCAAATATTCCATTAATATTTATCGACATGCCATAGTTTTTAAACATCTAAGCGGCGGATTCAGTGGACAGATATTTCCGCAGGCGAGTCCGTATGCTTGCTTGCCGGACTGCGCTACTAATAGCTCTATGTAACCATTGAGACGGTCCTATACTACTTTCTCCGAAAACGACGTATGCCTACTAATTCTAATACGACTACAAAGAAATGCAGTTTTCCACAATTATTCGAATCATAATTCAACGGAGGTAGAACCAAATTCTTCCACTGACGCATAGATATTCATCGCGATTATGATTTTAACAAAATTACAAGAACGATCCGGAATTTTCCGAATTTTTGTTCGAGAACAAATAGTATAGGCCCTCTAGTGTCATGTTAGGTTTTAAAGAGTTGTAGAAACATTACATAACCCTGTAGTGGTGAGGTCCGGCCGGCATGTCCGTCTAGTGGATTCTCCGCTTTGTTTGAAACACCAATAACATCAACGTGTATTACACCATTGGAAGTTAAAAGTTATATATTATCTCTGGGATATATAGGGGTTATTTCCCAGTATTTTTAATAAATAAATGAAACCAAAGTTTAATAAACGGATTTTAATAAAATAATAATAAATAGTCTTTAAACATTTGCACGTTTTACGGAGAATATTACTTCGATATATCAATAACATCACATTTGCGGTAGGTACACGTGCGCAGTTTCAATTCAAAGCTGATCGCAACTTACCGACACTTTTTCATATGAATTCGAAACGTATGAAACGATATTTTGAATTTTATCATAAATAGAATTCAGACAGAAATCAGATATAAAAAAATAATAATTTGAAAAGTATAGAGTTAACAATTTGTTAAAAAATAATGATTTCTTAAAAAAAAACAAAATCATAATTTTTCAATATTTGAAATGTGTTTCATGACAAGCGAAACACCAATCAGAGTGCGTGACGTCAAATGTCGGTAAAATGGTAATAAAATTATAGGCGGTAAACATTCGATAAGAAAAATATTTTTGATTTATTGATTTAAAAGTTTTTTAAAAGGTGTCTGATCCCCTGTTGGAGAGTCAGATGAATATCTAACTAAAGTTTAGTTAAATACGCAACATCTCACCCATAATCATAAGTATTTAAGAGTCAAATTCGAAAGAAAACACTTACAAATTGCGATCAACCTATTTACAATGATAATATTTACAATGTAATTGAAAGTGTGCGCCGTCAGCTAATTTAACTAGAGATTCGCTTTGTTTTACTGCACTGATGACGCTTGACTGACCCTGAAACAATATGAGAATAATAATATTACTTATAATAAATATTAATATCGGCATAGCTTTCAAAAATTATGAGCCTATTAATATTATATATTTAGAACGGTAAGTATGGGAAAGTCTGAAATTATAAGACAATCCAATATAAGGTCGCCTGGAAGAACTATCTGGCTAGCGATAAAGCCATCTTTTGTATGTGCTTGTGTAAAATAATTGTGTGTCCATGTCATTTTCTTTTGGGGCAATAAAGTATGTTTACACAGCCTACTTTACAAAATTAAATATAGGTAGGTGGACACCTAACTATAGAAATCTATCGCGTTAATACCTGACTTATACAATCTAATACCTACACTTTATTGATTATAATACATACTAATAACCAGTGGACGGAATTAGGTAGAGTTATTCATGTACTTACACTGATTTCATACAGCGAAAGAATAAAGTGTATATGCCTCAAATCCCGAGATTAATTTTAAAGAGCAGAAAAAATCCCGTGATTTTTTAAATAAAAAGTTATTTACTTTTACACAATTTAAACTACTGCACGCACGAGTTGTCAAACTTACATCAATGACATCGAATGTCTAAAGTTGCAAAATTTGTATTCTAAATTAATGTAAACTAATAAAAATTTTATGTTAATTATCTTTGTTTTATTTGTCTATCTCCGACGTTGTTATTATTATTTAGTTGTAAGATTGTTGGTCACACGGGATTGTCCATTAGAAATCCCGGGAAGGTCCACATTAATATCAACATTTCGATGCAAGTACATAAATAACTCTACCTAATTCCGACCTCTGCTAATAACTAGTACAAGTTTATTATTTCTGATTGTTAGATCTATTTAGTGTGGCTTATTTTTTATTGCATATTTTCTGAGGACAGAGGCTCTGTATGCTGAAATACAGGTATCAACCAAGTTCAGCAATACATGATAAATAGATATTAATAAGAAACATATTATAAGAATCACTGGTGTAAAAATTCTTTGTATTGTTTATATAGTTAATAAAGATTATTATTAATATCTGTCTAACCATGTCATCGATTTTATTGATGAGAAAAACTGCACTCATGCATTAAGAAACTATACTACAGCCAAATTTGATGAAGAATGTTTACTAATGAAGCGTTGCTTAGCAACCAGTGACAGGCAGATATTAATAACCTTTCGTAACTATACAGCATCATATTTTTTTCGATTTCGAGATACTACTTTATAAAATATTCTAAGTAATTTAGATAGAATTATTTAGTAGAGTTTTGAAAATTACCTAATCTTTTTAATTTAATGTGCAATTTCTTAAGATTATAAAGCAAAAGAAAAATAATGCAATCAATTCAAAATGCTAAAGACACATTATTATATAAAATAAAATAAAAAAACTTTTTGTCGTTATAAACAGTAGAAAGAAATACCGTACACGGAGTCTGCTTACATTATGCCATCGATTTCAAATGTCATCAATCTAAAGGAACACGTTTTATACTAATTGACAACTTTATTTGGAAAGTTAGTTTAAAACTGCAAACATGTTTCTTATATCTGAACTCTATAAGCTATAGGGCTGTCAACTAAAAATAATTTCAGCTTTATTACTATTTTCTATTTTATGTCAAAATAATTAAGTTTTATGAGTTTTTCCGGTGATTTATAGCAGTAAAAAATATTACAAACAAAATTACGAAGTATCCTGGTGGGAAATACAAGTATTATATATTTTTTTGTTATCTAAGTTACGATCCTAATTTGCTTTTTATTTACATTTATTCTTCATCGAATTTAGCTGAGTATAATTCTCCGTTCGAGAATTAAGTCGGCCTTAATTATCTAATTAAAAAGAAATCAGAATCACTTTGAATTTGACATTTGAAATATATTCATGAATTTCAGGCTACATCTATTTGACAAGTGATAAAATATTACACTTGTATATTTACTGTTCCTACAGCGGTTATATCTCCTCCAGTTTTTATTTATTACTTTATAATTATATTTTGATATTTTACCTTCTTAATTGTTGATAATAACTCCTACTTTTGCAAATATCGTTTCATGCTCTCGTCACCTTTAAATACTGATAAGAAATTTTTGTGTTAATAATCTTTATTTCTTTTCTAAATTTGAAACATTACTGAATATGTAAAACTAATATACAGCTTTAGTTTGTGTTGAAACAGCAAAATTTTAAGATTCAAGTACTCCACCGGCAGTGACTGTGTACTAAAGGATCATACAGTCCTGACGATACGCATAACCCATCAGTTTGTAATATTCAGTTGTATCCTGACTAACAAACTGACCGGGTTGGCGCAGATATAGTGGTCGGTCGTACAGGCGGTGTAGAACTGGTCATGTGCCTGGCGCGGTGGGTAGTGCATACTCACGCGTTGGACAGCACGGCGCTGACGGCGGCGAGCACTATACTCATGTGCCTGGCGCGGTGGGTAGTGTATACTCACGCTTTGGACAGCACTATACTCGTGTGCCGGGCGCGGCGGGTAGTGTATACTCACGCGTTGGACAGCACTATACTCATGTGCCTGGCGCGGTGGGTAGTGCATACTCACGCGTTGGACAGCACGGCGCTGACGGCGGCGAGCACTATACTCATGTGCCTGGCGCGGTGGGTAGTGTATACTCACGCGTTGGACAGCACTATACTCATGTGCCCGGCGCGGTGGGTAGTGCATACTCACGCGTTGGACAGCACGGCGCTGACGGCGGCGAGCACGTCGGGCGGGCGCGGGAGGGCGCGCGCCTCGAGGCTGGCGGCGTAGGGCATGGGCACATCGGCGCCGGTCACGCGCCACGCGGGCGCGTCCAGTTCGAAGAACGACGGCGACTCCATCAGGCGGGCGCAGATTTCGGATCCGATACCTGTGGACGATTTCATTGTTATACAGGGTTAGTTGTTGAATACTAACAACCTCGCAGGACTATAGCCTGTTCCTAGTGAACAGAAACACCGATTTCCGTGGTGAAGATAATTTTATTACTAATTGTTACATATATTAAACTAGCTTCTTAGCTAACGATATTAAAAAAAAAACCGCAGCAAAATCTGTAGCGTGCTTTTAAAGACAGAGAGAGAAAAGGTATATTGTTTTATACTATGTATTAATGCTCCACGAATCGCTTGTTCCGTGTTCGAATAATGAACAGCGCATTCTATCAACAGCTATAGGGTTTACAGTTTGAGCCGAACACCTCGAGCAGGTGAAAAACTAACAATGACCCAAAGAACTATGTGAGCGTTGAAAGTAAACGATCGTATTGCATCGCTTTAGTTTACTTTTGCAATGTTTCCGCTTATTGTTGTACCGAGTGCGGCAACGACCTTCAGCGTCCTGTATAAATATACGTAGTACTTTACGAAAACGATACAAATGTCTATGTATATGTAGTTTTGTTTCGACGCTTACATAATATATGTGTTATTGTCTCTCTTTTGTCAACCCTTAGGTGAATAACGGTTATTTTGTTTTTGCTTTCATAAGAAAATTAGCGTCGTTCTTTTTTTTTTTAATATATAAAACAATGACTTATAATAACCTAAAATAAGTCACGTAGATAATGCGTTGTTTATGATATTAGCTGGTTTAGTTCTGCGAATTTGCTGGTGTTTCAGAAAATAACCCTGTATAAACACTATTATGGATCATATGATTATAATTTCAGTTTATTATACTATGATCTTTTCCATGTGATCTATGTATTAAGGTCAATTTTTTATTAGGTAATCATTGAACAAAGCAAATAACATCTGTTCTGAATGTAATTTTTTTGCAACTAACTCATACACAAAATTATGAATTAAGCATAACGTAGCAATAAGGAGATTTTTAACAAAATGAAACATTGGAATGGCACTGACTGATGCATATTTGTCTAGCACTTTGACACACTATCTGTAACCACATTTTATCTTATTTTTCCATACATAAATGCTTGTATATGCATATTGAGGTGTTCATTTTCTGATAAATGTTAATGGATTATTCTCAAATACTTGATATTCATATCTATAGTTTATTACTGAGAAACTTTATGATGATTTTGTTATTATCTATAGAAACCTGTTTTTGACTTAATTTAAGTTACATCTGTCTAATTATCTCAACCATGTTTTAGCTGTTGGTTTTCTTAAATAAATAAATAAAATAAATCACAGTTAATAAAGTAGTAGTATGCCCCCCCCCCATCCATGATCACTCAAAGACTACGTCACACTTCAAAGATCCCTCTCAAAATTGAGTATACAAAAACATCGGTCATTGTAGAATCAGACATTAATAGAATAGGGAATATGCACATTTTTGGAAAAGGTTTTTATATGATAATTTACATGGGATATAATACTCGGCACCGAAAAACTAAAATTTTGTAACATTAATCATTGATGAAAATAAGTAATAGCTACAAGCAGTTTAAACACCGGAATTTTTGGCGCGCTCGTCGTGACGTCAAAGTACACGACTAGAGATATGACATTTTAAATCAATATGGAGTTTCAGTGACTGACTGATTATTCAATTACCCAAATCAATTAACAACTAATCAAAGTCAAAGTCAAAGTCAAAATAATCTTTATTCAAATAGACTTCTTAAAAGTACTTTTGAATCGTCCAACATTTTTTCCCTACCACTCGTTCAGGACGTCTTTTGGCTGATAAGAAGAACGAGCAAGAAACTCACCAGCTCTAATATGAGTAATGACATTTACAAAAACCATGTCATTACCAGATCAATACATAAACAGAGATAAAAAAAAACTATGGTCTTATAATAATAACATAATCATTTAATAATAATGGAAACAAGATGATGAGTTTAGAAGTAATCACCTATCCAGTTGCTGGATCATCTCAAGTCCAAGCGTTCTTATCTGTTATATAATCGGATACCTTATAATAAGCTTTTTTAATAAGTATTTTTTTAATAGTAGATTTAAACTGCATGATATCTAATTGTTGTATTTTACTTGGGACCTTATTGTAGAAGCGCACACAAAGACCCTTGAAAGAGTTATTAACTTTTTGCAGTCTAGTGACAGGCACCGTTAATTTATTTTTATTTCTTTTATTAAAATTGTGTATATCACTTTTTATAGAAAACAAACTAATATTTTTACGAACGTACATTAAGTTCTCGTATATGTATTGAGAAGCAACAGTCATAATGTCTATTTCCTTAAATTTCTCCCTTAAAGAGTCCCTAATCCTAAGATTATAAATTGATCGAATTTTCTGAAGCACAAAAATTGTTTGTATGTCGGCAGCATTTCCCCACAATAGGATACCGTACGACATAACACTATGAAAGTAACTGAAGTATACTAATCTGGCAGTATCTATGATTCGATTGAATCGATTTTTTAAAGTATAATAGACTTTTTTAATAAATCATATAATTTACCAAATTGGTGAAATAAAAATAAAAGTCCAATACATCATATAAATTGTAATCAGTTGTTTATTTTGCGACATAATACATTGATGTTATTGCATCGATGTTAACTGTTTGTAACAACGGTATCCCTATACGTGTACATTTTCGTCACATCCGCTCTGACAAGTAGCATGGTGTTTAAATATTTTAAAGTTACTGCATTTATTTTGCACTTTTTAATAATTATTTTCAAGACAAAAACGAACTAATGTTGAATAATATTTAGATAGAATTTATTCTAAAGCAATACGATTGTAATAAAATATATTTAACCCTTTTTTGAATCAGACGCATATTCCCTATTAGCCGTCGTAGTAGTAGTATAATCAGTAAGAATTGGTCGTTTATAGACCATACAGTGTTTGGCAAATCGGTCATTTGTCGATTAAACCGTGACCTAGAATGCTGGCCATCTAGTTAAGCACAGACATACATTTTCATATATAATTCTGTTCTGATATTAGTAAATAACATACCGCAGCTAGGCCAGCCCTGTTCTACGGTGACTATGTGATGTGTCTTGGCCACCGAACGCGCGATAGTGTCGAAGTCTAGTGGCCGGAGCGATCTCAGATTTATCACTTCGCATTCAATACCTGCAAAACAACAAAACTAATTATAATCATTGAGGAGATACTGGCTTCTATAAAACAGGTAAAACTAGCTTAAGTCAGAGCCTTAAATATTTATTTATTATTACATTGTATTCATACTCTTCCAAAGAAAATTGTCCATAAAATAAACAAACCAAGAGTATAATGTCAAGGTTACTTTGATAAGATATGGCCTATCATACTCTTTGTAGTTATAGCTCGTACATATGAACATGACACCTGAGGGCCTATTCTTCGTTCTCATGGTTTTATTGAATTCATATCTGTTAAGATTATTTGGGCATCACAGGCAGTGTAATTTTATACTTCCATTTCAACATTTATTGAAAAAAGCGTTTCTTTGGAGTCATATTAGACGAAAATTCGTCATTGGAGAAATAGAAGCTTCAGGTGTATTTTTTCGTATGTCTGTCAGCCTATTGAAGATTATTAAACACATTTTCTTCCGTAACCAATAAATTACAGCGACAAATCGACACCTTTGTCACACCTTTGTACATCGTCTGCGCATTGTGACGTAGTAAGCCCCCACTCCTCGACTTAAATGCCTATTATCAAATCCATTTCTTGTTAAATTGAAGTAAAAATGCGTATCAAATACTATTATCTGACATGACAGATTTATTACATTTTTTTAATCCACAACCGTCATCATCATTCATCAGGGCCGGATCTAGGCTAGTGGGAGCACCGGGACACCAGTGTCATGGTAATACATGACAATTAAAAAAAAACTGTGCCCTATTTGGAAAAAGTTGTAATTCCAGGCTTGTATGTAGTAAGTCACATTACAATATAAATAAATCAACATACCTTGTCCAGCAAGCGTATTGGCAGCTTGTAGTGCTGTTTCTGTGGCCCGTCCAGCGCATACCACAGTTATGTGTTTACCTTCCCGCTCCACTTTAGCTTTACCTATGTTACAATCAATACACATATTATCACCTGAACGGTAAATTTATTTGAAATTGATTTTGGTTTGTAAGTATTGTTTATTTATTTTTTTACTTTCACAAATAATACACAAAGTACAATGTGTCAATACAGGCCCCCATTTAAGCGAGTAATTTGCATGTCTCAGGTAGCACCGCTCAACCATAACAGAGTTACACTCTAAAAGATGTATCCACCGAAAATAAAAGATATTTAAAATAATATTAATTATAAACTAAAAACATTTTTTAACATATGAAAATAAATACCAATTTAAATTTAAATATCTAAGTTTATTACATATCTTTATCAATCAGAATATTTGTATGTGTGTGCGTGTGTGAGTTGGCGTGGGTAAGTGCGTTTGTGTACTTTTGTAAGTTAGTACTTTCCCCATGCTATACACAAAAGATTGAATTTGAAACAGATATTTGCATTTAAAACTCTGCAAATAAAATACCTCCTGCCAAGTTGTGGATATTTTAAGAATAACACTGTAATTTTTAAATAACATCTGTATTTTTTTTTATCCAGAAACATTTTCATTCAGTGCACAGAATTTTTTAAATTTTCCCCCAAGGGTGAACATGTTCACAGTAAAAAAAAAATTCTTTATAAATATTCTTATAGCCCGGTCGGCGAATACAGAACTTTATATCTAGTAAACATTCTAGGTTCACTTTACTATGACAAAATGCATCGAGGTAAGATGCATTTATGTGAGCGCAATAGTAATATGTTTGCACACGAATGAAAAGATATATATAATGCCAGATTCTTGTACGAATTCACTCTGTTTGGCGACTGTGATATACTTATTATATTACCTAAAAACCATTTTTTGACAATATTTTTATATTGCTACACTGAAAAATATTCTTAATGAAAATGGGTCATGGGTTAAGAGTCCCATCTCAAAGTGCCAGGGACAAAGTGGTTTTTTTTAAGCATTTTCATTAGTAATATTTATATAGTTCATTCACTACCATTCAAATAAACATGATAAATTTGATTATAAATTTTAATATGAAACTATGAAATAAAAATCTTCTAAAATATCTTAACCATACGATAAATTTTGTTATGTGAGCACTGATAACAAAATTTTCCTGTATAGGACTCACCAAATGGCAGCACAAAGTCATTGGATAACGCCTCATCGGACATGGGGAATGGAACACCGTACAACATTTCGTTCTCCAAACAGACCACAGGATCGGGGTCCCTGATGGCTGCCTTTAGGAGACCTGTAATATTAAATAATTTTGCGATTATATTTTACTCAAAATTATAATAGTATTTATTTGTTATGCCGTATAGCAGTTAGAAAATGATAACTCACTTGTTTATTTGGTAGCCCTTAAAAACTACAAAAGTTTTATTTTTAAATATTCAGATTAGTATCGGAGTTAAAGTCAGAAACATTCTTTATTAAAACAATTAGTTTATTAAGATTACTTTTGAAATATTCAATATTTTTCTCCTCAACCAAACCACCCTCAACCAACCCACACCAAAATGTTTAGTAAACCGGCGCAAGAAACTCATCAGATCTTAAAAAAAGTTATGACATTTAAAATAAATACATTCTTCTTATTTAAGTAATAGCCGTTAAGATTTTTTGGTTACCTTTGGCGTCTTCAGAAGAATATGGCATGATAACCTTCAGGCCTGGACAGTGTGAGAACCAGGCACCGAAGCATTGGGAATGTTGAGCGGCGACGCCGGCCGCCGCGCCGTTCGGACCACGGAACACAATAGGAACTGGCACCGCACCAGCTGACATGTAGAATGTTTTAGCCGCTGAGTTTATTATCTGAAATTATTGTTCATGATCATCATCTGTCAATGTCCCAATTGCTGGGGCAATGCCTATTCTTATAGGCATTGCCCCAGCAATACTATTCTTATTAATAATAGGCAGGGAGAATTGGCCATTAACTACCACAATTTCTATGAGAATGAAATCCAACAGTGACAGACTTCTAAAGTGTTGACAAAATAAATGCATTTTTTTGTTGCGAAAGTCGATTATCGCCAACCGCATGCGGTAGCCACTGCGCCAATTTTTATATTGACTGCTAAATGTATATAAGTTAATGAAAATTTATCAAACTTTTCGCCTAAAACAACATGTGGACCGAATCAAATAAACGGGTCATTAATCTAAGTTATTGTCAAAATGTTCAATTATTTATAATGGTATAAATAAATGGAAAAAAAATCACGATACCTAAATATGGCTAAAAGACAGCAACATAATTATAGCATGTCTTGAGATAACAAGATATGGTTGTATGTTTTCTGATAACACTGACATTTCTGATAATATTCAAATTGTATTTGATTCTTTTTTCTTTACATAAGAATTGTTACATAAAAACAGCAATTTATCCAGTGGACTAAAGTAATTTTTAACGGCTTTTAATACTAAAATGGAAAAATTAAACTAACATGATTTTGCCTATTTTATATGGCTCAGCTTTATCATTGACAACTACACAGATTGTGTTGATATGTTTTTCATATATACAGATGCTAAAGTGGTTTAATTTTCCAAAGTGTCAAGGCACGGAGATAGTTAATGTCTGAGAATAAATTTTTTTAAATATGTAAATGTGACTTTTTTTTGGATGTTTTATGAACTTTGACAAATGATTTTGTCTTTAAGATCGACTAGGAAAAGGGATTTATATTTATACATTCAAATTTCGAGATTATTTTTAAATGGCTAAGAAAAAATTAGATTATTTTTTTAAAACTAGGTTGTAGGTCACATTATAGGTTAGAAATTTAAGAGGATTGCAAAGCGCATAACTTTTTCATTATCATAAATGAATAAAGTTGTAAGGAATTCATTGATTAGATTTATACTAACATGATCAATGGCTTGCATGGAGAAATTGAAGGTCATGAACTCGCAGATAGGTCGGAGTCCAGCAAAAGCTGCACCCACTGCTATACCAGCAAAACCCATCTCAGTGATAGGTGTGTCTATGACTCTTTTGTCACCATATTTCTTCCAAAGCCCTCTGGAAAACAAAGAGAAGCACCAAATAATTAGATGTTTTTTGATAACTCTAAATAAGTAAGTTTGCTTTTTAATTTTAAGTCTATTCTAACCTTGACATTATGATTTTTAATTTGATTTGGTTTTGATATTATCATAGATCTTATAAAGTACAAAATCCAACGAAAATCCAACATAGTGTAGATTCAAAACAACTTTAAAATTTAAACTAAGAACAGCCTAAGACAATTCAATCAGTTGTGGTTGCGTTCAAGAGTAAGGGGACAGGTCATATAAATTATGTAATGGTATGTGTATCAAAAGACAAAACCTATCTATCCATAATATAACCAAGGGTTTTGATTTGCAAACATTGTCTGATATGCTCTCACAAGATCCCTTAAAAAGTATATAAAATCACTCTTAATACAATAAATGTATTTTCCTATATAATAGACTATGTTAAATAGGATAAACATAGGGCCTATCAAAACAATAGACATAGACATCCTTTTATTAAATTAAAGCAACATTCATTAATTCGTAAACAAACCTATCAAAGCTTGCTTTAAAAGTATAATTCTTTCTTTTTCTTATTCACAACATTCAAAATACGCTGTGTATCAAATAGCATATAAATATTATACATCTGTAATTTCATCAATTTTAAAAATTTGTTAGGCACTTTGTAATTTAAATAAACTGAAAAAATAATAGTCAATGATTTGACTATTATTTTATCAGTGATTAAAGGGTTATTTTCTATATCAATAAATCAGTCTTGTAGAATGCAATAGAATTACTTTTCCTTAATACAAAATGCTTTAAAAATCCACTTGGTCCCTGGCACCCTGAGATGGGAATCAAACCCATAATCTTTCGCAATCCGGGCGACTGCTCTAACCACTGAGCTACCCAGGACCTAACAGGACTGACAAATCTTTCAAGCACTTGTTACTTTTCGCTACTACAGAGCGTATTCTCATCAATGTTCAGGCATCCACCCAAACGGCCGAAAGAAATATTGTTACAAATATTGACTCAGGGTGCCAGGAACCAAGTGGATTTTTAAAGCATTTTGTATTACAAATAATTTTCAGTATGGCATTGTGAATGCTAAATTAAACAAAATATAAGAATTACTTTTTTTTTAAATTAGTTATGGCCTCTTTGACTTGTCATAAATCTTTGATATGACACCCACATGAGAACTGTCAACAAACCCTTTTGGTTATGTAACAAGAAATTCATCAATGAGAGAAATTCATATTAATGTTTCTTTCATCTGAGACTCAATCGATATTAATAATAAAATAATATTTGTCTAATAAAATACGTTTTATAGCTACATTATTAAAGTTACATGATTCGTTAACACAACTTACCTTGTAACTTTATAGGCGCCATCGTATTGAGCCACTTCTTCACCCATAACAAACACACTTTCGTCTCTCTCCATCTCCTCATCGATAGCCTGATTGAGGGCATCACGAACGGTTACAGGTTTCGACGACAAAACTTTAGATGTTGAAAAACTGCGTCTGGTTATACGTGACAGTATACCCATAGCGACAGCCGGCGATTTCAACGCCATTTGAGACTATTTTATCACACAAACACACTTATAGTCTTTTGAAAAACACCCTAGCACCTCCTGAAAGGCTTAATCGAATGTATTTTATCGTTTCAAATTGTACATAGAATTAAAAACTAAATTTTGATGAGTCGAAGGATGAATGGAGGTCGAAAATATGCGAAGGTGAAGTTCGACTCGGGACGTGTCAATGTCAAACAGATGTCAAGTCAAGTGTTCGTTTAGGAATAATAAAATATTTTGTCTTTATGTTATCAAGCTAATAGATAGGTCGGTAACCGACTTAAAAATAAGATAAGTCGGTTTTGTCTGATTAAAGCTACTTAACATCAAACAGTAAAGAAGGTGACTGTCGTATAGTTTTCGTAGGCCAAGTCTGTGGATATTTGGAACCACAACTACATGCATTTTGCAATTGTATTATCCACATCAAGTCCAATATTATTATTGCTATAGGTATCTTCCTCACACATCAATAGTGACAGAACAAATAAAAAAAACCTAATGCAAACTTTTTGTGAAGCTTCTTACATAATAATATCACTTTTGCCTTGAAGCAGGATATTGATAAATCTGTATTCATTTTATGAGCGGAAACATGTATACACGGTCACTTTTATGGCGTCCCGAGGGGACTCGTTATCCCGAAGGTCAACTTTTAACGGTTGGCTTACTGTTGCGGGTTAAGTGACATGCTCTACAACTACTTTAATAATGCCTGAGAGGAACACTAATTGGAAAAATGTAAAAAAAAAAATTATTTGAATGAACCAAGTCAATTATTTTATTGTTTCATCTACCTTATTCCTGGTATAAACCTTAATAATTTTTTAATAATGTATTGATTATTCATGTACGATCTATACACCTTTAACTGATATGACGATGATCTTGATATGGTAATCTTGATAGAAACACTGATTTAACTCATAACTATTTATTTATAAGAACCAAGGTAATGACAACACAATATGAGGTTAACAATAAAAAATAGAAAAAGATTAATTAATGCGGGAAAATTGAAAAGACGTTGCTGGTTTTGCTGTGGAACTCCCGCTGATTTGTATGTCATCTCGGCTCTCGTGTATTATATATAAGTCGTACACGTGGTGTAGGCTCAGTCGCTGATGTGGGAGGAATCGCCTCGTCTGTACTGTTTCAGCTTCGATGTTTTTGTTTTGTAAAGATGTAACAAGAGTGCGCGACATAATGATGTATGTCGTGATAGGAAATTTGATCTACTATAATGTTATCCGGCTGCAATTGCGTGATTTGTTGTTCGATGTATTCGAAAAGACTTTCATTCATCTTGTATGGTTCATTTTCGTCTTGTATTGGTAATGATAAATTAAATACGTTGTTAATCGACGGCATTCCAAATAAAGGAATATCTGCTTGAATATTGAAGTCGCTCGATGGGGACTGCTGTGTAAACAACGTAAATGATTCTCCTTTGATTGTGATTTTTTTTCTTAGGTTCAAAATTCCAGCACCGTGAAGACATCCAGCTCTTATTTCTTAAATAAATATGAATTGATATAAATATGAAAAATAAATATGTATTGATTGCACTTATTTCTAGCCAATTATTATTACAGACGGTGTCAGCTTAACACTTTGGAGTAATGTGATAACGCATAGGTCAATGTCTGCCTTTAATTCATAAATAGGGCCTTTAAGCTGGCAAATGAGTGTCGTAATATAATATCATAACACCCTTGTGTTGTCACAGCCACAAATTCTTCTTTTTAGATGTTGATGGCTACATAATGTGATATCGGAATTATGCTGACCATGTTATTATGCTTATGATGTGTGATAGATCAACCTGTATAGCTCATAATTTTCTCTATTTTAGTAAATGGAATTTTCATCTCGAAGATAATCTTGCTCGTGCCTTCATGGTTTGATATGATTTCGGCATACTTGATTGACATAATATCCAGTTCATCTTTAAGCTGGCCAGGCGTTAACAGGTGATTATTAAATTTTCCATAAAATACATTGCTAATGGTTTATAACTTTTCAGGTTTACAATTATATTGTTTGCGATGATTGAAGATGTAGTTAATTCGTTGATTTTAGCCAAGGTTTGGACTTGATTGCTGTTCTTCTCCAAATATTTCAAATGTAAGTTAAATGTTTTAAATTGTTTTTCTACGGCACTATCGGCTAAAGAGCCGATAGTGACGTAGCCAAAACCAAACTGATACCGTTTTACAAAGGTATAAGTTTGGTTTTGGCCTCAAACACCGACGTCTGATTGAATATTTGCAGTTTTCTTTGTTCTAATTCCTTTCTTAAATTATTCACCATATTATAGACAGCCAGTGTAGTTGTATCATTTCCTTTCGAATTATTATATTATTAAATATATTCAAGATGTGAATAGGCTACCTTTACCTTTACCTATACCTTTTTTTTTATTTCATAAATAAATAGTCCATTAACATCTGAGAAATAATGTCAAAGTAACAGCATGTCTGCGATTAATAGTTTCGGAGATACGGTGCTGTGTTTGTAGAACTGCTGCTAGTTGGCCGAAAACGCTCCCTACAAATTCAAGGCACTCAATGACGTCACACGGTGCTACAGTAGCGAAAAATGTATGGGCGTCTGGACAATTTTTGTAATATCTTTGTTATTTGAGCGTTTATGTTTATAGCTGTTATAATGAAAGTTGTAACATTTTTTATATCTAATTTAATGCCTTATGTATTTTAGCAAATTTTTGTAGTAGATTTTTTCTACTTTTTTCAAGTTTTCAAAGCTAAATATTTTCCAAATCAGTGACTTAAAATTTGTTTTGTTAAACATTTATAAGTTAAAATGGTTCATATTTATCGAAGAAATAACAAAAACCTGTATTTTCACTTGTAGGACACAAGCCTATTGTAAAGTGCAGACTTTCAACAACTTCCTTCTCCTGTTGATCACTTATCTTCAGTTATTCTTGTATTTGACAGTTAGCACTTAAATTTAAAAAATAATTACATATTGGTTCCCAATTAGGTATAATTGTGTTATTGGTCATTTTTGTAGTTTCCATCTTAGTCTGTTTTAACTTATAAGTATGCTTAAATAGTTACGTAAGTATTTTAGCCTCACCCTAAAAGTGTTTTGCTTTACGTGGCATAGTAAATGTTGAAAATAAAGTATTTTCCGATACTTTATTTGTATTTAAAAGAATAAAGTATGAATACCAAAACTAAATTGGTTACGTAATTATAAATTATGTCTGGCAATCCTAGGTTCTCCATACAGTACAGTTCTTCTCCACTTAGTCCTTTTAGTAGGAACCAAAATGGTTCACCTATACCCCTATGTCTTATATTATATATTAGTTCGGTAACTATGACCGTATTTCTAGGTGGCACTCCCTACTGAGAGCATGCCGGTTATTAGTGGATCTATCGCCCTTTGGGGTCCCAAATATTGCTAAAGCATTTTAATTTTATTTTCCTGGGCGAAATAAAACTAAAATAACAAAAAAGTCCATGAATCTGAATGAAGTATGTATATAAGAAATGACAAAAATCACCTAAAACTTTTCTTTATACTTTGTACTGAAAATGTAAAATCATCTAGAAATAATTCTTTAAGACCAAAAGTGAAGCTGCAAGTTAAAACTAGTACAAAGTTAATTTTCCATTAACCAACACATTTACAAAGTTATGGGATTAGGAAACATCATGAAACTTGCTTAATTAATCTCAACTGTTTACCAACTTCCAATTAATTTGATTTCTAACAATAGGAACGCTTACAATAGTAGCGATTTTGAATGTGACATGGGTTGAATACGTATTACGTCTCAAGAATTGTGACCCTCAAATAAGTCGGCCTTTCGTAAATAAACTAATATGGGATCTATCTACCCACTCGACATGCATTCTGGGAAAGTGGTGACCATATTTTGTGTTAATATCGCTTATTACATTACTTAATGGACAAACGCAGTCGGAGCTTTATTATTTGCTTTTATTTAACTTATAATGTATATTCATAACCTAATTAAACTAATTTAGTCTATGTATAACTTATGTCTATTTTATTAATGTACTTAAATCTTGGTAATAATTTTAATCTTTTATTTGAAGAGATCTACGATTCCCCAAGCTCATCCTTTTTGGGTATTGAAATTTCCCTACCAATGTTAACATTAGGATTATCTCGTCATCGATGGAACCCATGGAGTTTCTATTCGGGTGTGCAAAGGCTCGGTAAAAACGGTCGGTCATTAAATCTTTACACAGGAGAACGGCCTTGGCCGACTTACGGCCAACTCTTCGGCAAGACACACTCCATGTAATGTAGTCGACAAGCGCTCCACTCATTTTTTAGGTCACTAACTTTCGGTTTAGTTAAGAGTGGAAGAACAGTCAATTGCACGCACGCATTGCAAGTTTGGCGGCTCGAGTGGATCTTGAGAGTTGTCACTGTTACGTGAAGATATCCCACGCTTTTGGGTAGAAGTTTTAACGTAGTATTTTAATGATATAAATATTTAATTTATGTAATAGATATCTTTTTTTTGGGTGAGATGGTGTTCGAACCTGTAACGTATTTAGTGTCGGCATACTTACGATTATTTCCATGATATCAGATATTCAATCCTGTATTGAACATTGAGTGCATTGTATTAAACCAAAAGTAAATATTTTTGGTATTTAATTTACACCACTCACTGTATAATAATACCTTCAGTATTCATTCCAATATCAAACAAATCGATGTAAATTACCATTGAACTTCTACGCATGACAGCTCTGTGTCGTCGTCGAGTATTTGATTACAGAATCATGTAGTATAATTCAAAAATGGAATGTATTCAAAAATATTATAAAGGCCAAAGTTTGTAGGTTTGGTTATTTGTTATTTCTTCACGCAAAAACTACTTAACTTTTCCGATTAAAAAAAAAAATAAGATGAATGCTACCATCACATCAAAATATTTATCCGATAAATACAGCATAAGGTGTCCATTTATTATAAGTAAAGAGTAAGTAATACGGATTAGTAATAACTTCTCTTATTAAAATAGAAAATTTAAAATGATTAAAAAAATCCTAAAAAGGAGAAACGACTGAAAAGAGAAAATCGAACACACACAAAATCAAAAGATAAAAAGTGGATAATAACATATTTTTTGAGGTCA